TATAGTCCTCTGTGTTAATCTCTAAGGCTCAAGGTTCTATCATAAGCTGGTTTTCTTCAAACTATAGCCTATAGGCTCTAGTAAACTTTTAAAGGAATTCAGGTGCATCCATCAAGCAGTTTAGTTTTTATTAAAAAAACAATTATATCATGCCCGTCCTATTCATTCCCAATTAGCCAAACACTCAAGATGTGGGTGAATACAACATTTGTGTGCTTATTAAAAGTCAGACAAAACCAGCCACATCCACACTCAAGGACTGTATTTTAGATGTTATGAGCACCGCAATTCAGATACCCCAGGTAGTATATACTAAAAAAAAAAGGTATGCTACGAAACTCATGGGGTTTCGTGTTACTTTACCATACCTTATAAAGTATCGTACAAACGAACGAAACCTTTCAAAGGTTTCGAAACGAACTAGGTTTCTTGTAATACCAATAAAGGTTTTCAAAGTATAAAAGGTTTCATAGTATACCTTCAAAAGGTTTCGTAGTCAAGATATTTCTCACCAAACTTTAGTTTTTTCTTGTCTCATCTATAATATGGACAGATGCTCACCTATATTAAATTCGAATGCACTGACTTTGTTCTTCTCTTTAGTTATTTACATTCACTCTTGAATCAATTTTAGATGTTACATTACCACTTTTTGACCTCATGCTTTCCTATACGAAGTTTACTGCTAGATCAATAGAGATCGCTTCGCTTTATGCAACAATCACATATCCTTCCTCTCTGAATTGTTGAATTCTTTTACATTTTGCCGAAAGTAACAAAGCATTCGAGATGAACATTTTTTAAAGTAAATTAATTAACATCCACTTCAAGTGGCTTTACTTAGCCACTCATATCAGTAGAAAGCAGAACGAGAGGCACCATTTGATTCGATAATATCAACGGTCCATGGGTCACTGAACTTTTCATGCGCCCCTCTTCAGATGATTAATTTTGGAACCTGTACATTCAAATCACGTGAAATATGTTCGTCAAAAAGTTTTCCTATAACTTTTTAGCTGTGTGCTATGAGACTTTTGGCAGATAAGAATCAAACACACGTCAATAGTAGCTCATTTCGTCTCCGAAAATTCCAAACTTGTGGAGTTTTGTGGAGTATTAAATTTGTTGCTTTTTTCCTAGTCAAAAACAAAGAAACTGAAAAGAGCCCTTCGACATTCACTGTATTCTGACATGTTCTTTCCAACAAAAAAGTTGAATACACAGAATGGAGGACCAGGCACAATTGTTGGAGACGAAACGAGCCATTTTTGAGCATTGTTTGATGCATATTGGCCAAAAGTCTCACGGCACACGACTGAAAACTTTTAGCAAAACATTTAGCAAAACTTTTCGTCAGCCGCCTTTAGAAAATAGCTAATTTCATATTTAAATTCGGGTTCATATCGATCTGATGGAAATGGTAAGTTACATATAACAAATAGAAAATGACTATTTTCGTTTTTATATTTTTAGGTTCATATCGATAAGATACGAAGATGGTAAGTTACATAAAGCAGTTCGAAAATCAATATTTCTTTTCTATGTTTAAGTTCATATCAGTGTGGGAGCAATGGTAAGCTACACAATATAAATACAGAATTAATATTTTCTTTTTTGTATTTTTAGTTCATATCGACAAGATACAAAGATGATAAACTACATATAGCAAATCGAAAATCAATATTTTCTTTTCGATATTTAGGTTTATGTCAATATGATAGAAATGGTAACTTACATTTAACGCATAGAAAATCAATATTTTCTTGTTTTTATTCTTAGGTTCATATTGATTTAATAGAAATGGTCAGTTACATTTCAATAACAGCAGACTAAAAATTTCTCTTGTTTTGTTTTAGGTTCAAATCGATATGATCGCAATCGTAAGTTTCAATTGAATAATTAAACACTACATATTTCTTTTGTTTTATTTTAGTTTCGAATCCGTATGATTCAAATTGTAAACTACCATTAAAAACCTGATAACTATTTATTTCTTTTGTTTTCTTTCAGATTGTAATCCGTATGGTCGAAAACGTAAGTTACATTTTATTAATTAAAAACCAATAGCTTTTTTCTTTTGTTTTAGGTTCGAATCGATGTAATGCAAATCGTAAGTTACAATTCAATAATTAAAAAATATTTATTTCATTTCTTTTCTTCTAGGTTCAAATCGATATGATCGAAATGCTAATTTGTATTTTAACCATTCAGAACTAATAATATCTTTGTCTCGTTGGTTCTGTTACATACGGCGAGGTGCCGAAATCCATCTTGCTGCTTCAGTGTTTTCAGGTCCCATGTTGCTTTTCGGTTTTCATGAGCTCGAAAACGTTTTATCCGTTTCTGACATCAGTATCCAAGAAATTACTATAACCGTTTTTTCTTGGTTTACGAAATCTCGAAAACTGTTCTTCGGAAACTCTTAAAGGGTTTCACATAGTAACAAAATCGGAAATTCTCTAAGGGTTTCTGAGGGCATTTTTTTAGAGAGTAAGGGGAAAGATATAGAATAAGTGATTAGACATAGATTAAGCGAGTATGCTCAGGTATTAGAGTAGGTAGTTTATCGGCCTAGCTGGGCGCATTGATATAGATATAGACCCAATGGTGTTGCATTGGAATCCGTACGAAATTTTGACTACGAAACCATTTTTGAAGTGATATAAAAACGGTTTTGTACGAAACCATATTCTTACGAAACTTCAAAAAGGTTTCGACTTCGTTGCAAAATTTGGAACCTTTTTTAAGTTTCGTATGGTACCTTTTTATTCAGTGTAATTAGGCAGCACTCGAAATACAACATGCAGCAAGTACAAGTAATTCCTGCAATGTTGTGGGCAGCATGTTTCTGTATCGCCTCGAAACTTACATGAAATAGATGTATTAGGTTTGAAAATAATGCTAGCACCTCTGTTTCAAACGCATAATCTACTTTTTGTATCTGTGCCGCGACATGGATGTGCAAAGCGCTCCATGACAAGCTGCAACCCACTTTCATCTCTATTTACACAGTCAACTCTATCTTTATTTTACCATTAGATAGCATTGAAAGAGGCATAAAGAGAGAACGCATAAAAGGAGCTACAAATTCCAACATATAGATGATGTATAGACAGGACGTAAATCTGCACGCACCACGAGAGTATGGGTCTCTTTTTATCACTGCCGGCCAAAACTGTAAACTAGAAGAACGTTAGATGCTTGGTTAATCAAACTCATACCCACACACACATTCCCGTACCAAATAATGAATAACTGTAACTGATGAATTACTAGTTACCTGGTAAAGTAAATGACTGATAACGGTGACTGGCCACTCTTAGTCCGAGCTATAATAGTTCAATACATCTTGCTATAGTGTGTCATGTGAACCAGCACTCATGGTCTTCCATTTTAAACCTTAAATCATTTGCTGGCGAGCATAACGTCCACCAGATCTTTCTCGTCTTGGCCCCTGAAATTCCTCGTCGAAGGTTAGTCTGCATTCTGGATAACACTTTCTTATCTAAACGAGGGTGTGGATGTAGGCGTGGATGGGTAGGAGTGAGAGTTTGTCTTCTCATCACAAGAATCTACACCCACCCACATCTAGACCCACACAAATCTAGATTCAGAAAATCTGACCATACTCTGTTTGAAATCTATTAAATGCAATTGTTCAGGTATCCTCCTTGACAATTTTTTAGTTTTGAAGTGGAGTGTGGGTGTGGGGTGAGGATAAACAAAAGACACCCACCCCTATACCCACATCCACACCCACACCCTCATTCATACTTCATAACATACAGCCCCCATAAAGATTCCGAGCAATTCGAAAAGAGCACATAATTCTAATTTCAACGCAATATTTCAAAATTTCTATTGACTCTCATGATTGGTATTAGAAAAATGAAGAAAGATTGTCCAAAAACTTTCGCAGCACCTGTTAGACAGACCTTTTAGGATTTTTATTGAACATTTTTAAAATCTTAAATGTGACTGTTCGAATAATATGATTACATTTGCATGAGCCCGCATCATAGGGTAGACTTGCATGTTGTGGGATGGAAGCTCAAGAGTTCTCGCTATTGACACGCTCCAATGGTGTATCGATGATTTCTTGATCATTCAGTTTTTATTCCAGTATGAAGTTATACTAAAATATTCGATTGTTTTTTTAGATATAAATTTCTAATACATGTTTTTACACATGATTGTTTGAAATAGTGTACATGTCACAGGCTAGAAGCGCTAGTTCTGCTACTGCAAATTTTGCGGTTCGAGAACTCTCGCCTGCATTTATTCAATCACTGAGCGATGCCAACCCGTCGCCTATTACAAAGTCACTTGAATATCTTCGCAATTTTTCGCTATCAGTGTCAACCACAACGACGGTATCAGCAACGACAAGTGGTAATGAAGCTGAAATTGAAGCCCTGATCAAATCATTCAAATATCTGAAGGATAAAGTTCAACGTAGTGAAGACACTGGCGATGATGCGGCTCTCGTCTCTTTAATTATCGATACATTGGTTGTTCCATGTTATCGGTTCTATTCGACGCACAACATATTTTCATTGCCTTTCTTCCAACTATTCTATCTTCTTCTATCTCATCCTTCCGTATCGAAGCATGAAAATTATCGATTCTCGATTGCAATTATTATTTCACGTTCAAATCTTTATCCACCAAAATCGACCATTATGAGTATCGACAAATGGTCAAAGAAAACATGGCTCGGCAAAGTAATCGGCCAAAATCCAATAACGAATAAATTTTCTTATCAGTCTGAAAAGCCATTCCCATTTGCACGCGGATCACAGATATATACTGTGTTGTGTGACGATAGCAAATTTCCTATTGATATCACTGAACAATACGTTTCATTCATCGAAAAAGCAAGAAAATCGCAACGTACAAATGCCGATGAACTAGTTCTTCTACAAGATATTTTGAATCAACTACTTCATTTTGATTTTATTCTAGGAGCATTTTTAAATGCCGATAAGTGTCTATCATTGATGCTATCATTTGCTATAGAACGTCAACGGATACTTGATGTTCAAATAGTGAATATAACCAATCTATCAGCACAATCACAACTAACATCCATCAAAAATCAAATTTTAAATCAATTGGAATACCTACCAAATTCGAACGCTGATGATGTCAAAGTAATTCTAACTGATTGTAAAGTCAAATGGACTGATGGCAAGGAATTCATCTATCATAGTAATACAATTCATGCTCGTCCATCGTTTCTATCACCTTTATCAAAGTTATTAAAACATGTGTATGTTCTACAAAAAGATGCTAATGATATCGATGCTACAGTACGCTGGATTTTATTATTACAAAAAATTCATCAACTTATTACAAAAAATTTGGAAATACCATCATCAAATTATGAGTTAGCAGAGACTGATCTAAAAGATTTTCTTCTTTATTTTTTATATCATAACGATGAACAAATACAACGAATGGGCACACAATTAATTACCACGTTTATTAAAGATTTACCTATATCGAATGATGTCAATTTACCACCGTTAATTTCATGTTCAATCATTAAAAATCTATTTCAAACAATGATTCTAAATGAAAAATTCGACATCGACGAAATCCTATTAAATGCATGTTTGAATCCATCATTAAGCTGGCCCATCGATGAGCTCTGTTCACTCTTAACAATCTTAGTCATGAATTTGAGTGAAATATCAAAAGTAACTACAGAAGTATCTGATCGTCGTCATGTATGGTTTCAATTCTTTGTCAATATTGTCGACCATAATCTCGATCGATTAACATTATCGCAAACAAAAACTAATCAACATTTCATTGAATTCTGTCGACAAATTCAAACATTATTATTCATTCAATTGATACATCCGACAATAAGAAATTCATTTCAAGTATTGAAATTTATTGTTAAATATGTTGCAAAAGATTGGATCAAAGTTTTACTCGAGATTATTGATCAACAACGAGTGCAAATGGATTTTGCTGAATTATTGAAAGAATCTCGTCAATACGTTTTTGATCAATGGCAAATATCCACAAGTTTTAATCTTCTACTTTCATTAATACAATCTAATCAAACTGATAATCCACAATTATTATTAGAACTTCTCTTATTACTAGAGAAAACGTTTGATTTACGATGGAAACATAAATCATGCTTGAAAAATATTGATTTCACAAATACGATTAAACCGATAGTCAATTTACTTGATCTTGTATTTGCTGCAAATGATAATGATCAATTAGTATGGAATTCCTCATTTCGTCATCGTCTACTGTCCTGTGTGATGTCGATAATTCTACATTTGATCAATCAAGTAACGTCAAAAACATCAATCATGGATGTGGTCGATATGAAACGCATCGTTCAAGCGACAGTATTACTTTCAATTGAATATAAGCCAATGTTGCGATTATTCAATTTTATTCTTCAATTGAAACAACCAACTCTGATTCATTCATGGCTCAATCAATTATTAATTATGGCATTATTCACAAATGATAATTTAAATGAACAAGAAAAACTCGATTATATTCCACCAAATGAAGAAAAACTTTCATTTCATCTTCGGCCATCAACTACAATCGAATATTTTGGTATTTACACTCATGATCTTATCGAATTACTACGAGAAAAACTCGATCAAGCAGTAAATTTGATTTCAATGCCAACATTCAATTTTCTCTCATCCTTCATTCAACAATCATTATCCATGTTTCTTCAATGTCTTCTACACAAAAATTCCAATATACGAGTATCAACTGCTCGTCTACTTGGTCGTGCATTGAATATTCAATCTGATGATCTTATGAAATTATTAATTAGTTTGAAAGATGAGAATGAAGAAGATTTCAAAAGGACAACAATAACATCCGTAATATCATTGAATTTTAATAATGATCAACAATCAACATTAACACAAGTTCAATTAACACCGACGTATCTTTTAGAACGTGAATTGAAACGTTCTAAATCTCAAATACCATTTCGTCTTATCAAACGATCCGATTTTCAAGTATTGGCTGCTGATCTAGAACAAACAACTCTTATCGAAGATAGTTCATCACGAGATTCGAACAGTTTAGATACTATCAGACATTTAATTACGCAATGTCCAGAAGAATTTCGTCACTTAATACCTAATCGTCGAACATTACCATCGTTAGTACAAACAGAAACCATGATAAACAATCGTAAACGAATTATTGAATGTATACGAACACCAATTCATTTATTATTACAAGGTGAAACTGGTGTTGGAAAGAGTAGTCTTATTCTTGATGTTGCTGCTGATCTTCAGAAGCCATTGATTCGTTTTAATCTATCATCAAAAACTGATATTGGTGGACTTTTTGGATCGGTTAAATTAAAAACAATAACGAATCCTAATCAGACACAACAAGAAATCGAATTGGATTATGAAGAAGGTCCATTCACAACTGCCTATCGTTATGGTCATTGGCTTTTATTAGATGAGATGAATTTAGCACCACCAAATGTTCTTCAAGCTATTGAACAAGCATTAGAATCCGGTGTATTAATACTACCCAATGTCGAAGATGATGATAACACTAATACGAATGAACAACAAAATCAAACAAAACAAAACTATCGTGTCTATCAAATGCATCCAGAATTTCGTCTTTTTGCTACACAAAATCCATCAACTGGCCAATATAAAGGAGCACGTGATGCTCAATCAACAGCTTTGCTGAATCGTTTTAGTATCTTTATTGTTGAAGGACCACAAACCAATGAATTAGCTGATATTGTTGCAAATCGATTGAAAAATGAAAGATTTCCATTTGCTACACAAGCCACACAAATGGTTAAATTACATTTAGATATAATGGATCTCATAAAAGATAATGAATTCAAAGAACGAAATAAAAATTATTCTGAAATAACAATTCGAGAACTTTTTCGATGGTGTCAAAGTTTATGTGATTATGAAAAAATGTTAAATAAAGTGTCGCAATCAGTCAAAGATCTTGATGGAAATACATTTGGTCAAATAATTAGTGAGCAAGCTTATGCTATCTATGGTCTACGATTTCGTGAAAGACAATGTCAAATTCAAATTGCTTCGGCAATTGAAAGATTATTTCAGATCAATCCTTTATCGTCATTGAAATTATCAGTGGACTTTCGTGGAGGTAATTCTATTGCATTTCTTTCACAAAGACGTTTATTATTACAAATGCCAATAATTACTCTCGAACGTGTTCTCAACGATTGGCCATCGCATATATCAAAACCAAGCAATATTCAAGAAATTGAAAAAATCATTAAAATTCACAATTATATTTTCAAAAACTTGCATAGTGGATCGATAACACAAATTTACGATTGTTCATATGCATTGCTCTGGTCTGTATTAGAGCGACGATGTGGACACGATATGACTACATTACCTGAACTACTTGTTGAAACTTATGCTAATTTATGTCGAGATAAAAATCAACGAGAAACAATTATCAAATATATTGGAACAGAATTTCGAGAACCTTTCGAGACCCTAGTTCAAGCTGCAGCATCACTTTCATCAGCTCGTTCTTCGTTTTATCTTGATGAAGAAGCAAATCGTATCGCACAATTTATCTTATCATCGTCACCATCACAACCAATTCTAATTGTTGGTTCTGAAGGTTGCGGCAAAAGTCATTTCGTACAAGCCATAGCGACATTGACGAATGTTTATTGTCAACATTTATATTTGACACCACAAACTGAACCAGCAGCACTTGTCGGTTCTCTTGTTCCACATCCGAAACTACCGCGATGGCACGATGGTGCCGTAAGTGAAGCCATTACAAAAGGTCATTGGCTCATTCTGGAAAATTTTTCCGAAGCATCTTCAGCCGTTCTCGAGCGTCTTAATCCTGTTCTTGAACAGCCCGCTCAATGGGTTAAAGTAGAAAATAATGAAACTGAACCTGTTCGTGTTTCACCAAATTTTCGTATCATTGCTACAATGTCACCGCCAACTGGACGATTACAGAATGCATCGATTGAAACAAATCATGAGCTCACACCAGCATTATACAATCGGTTTTTGATTATTTACTATCAAGGTTTAAATTTATCTTTCATAGATGTCTACAAAAATGTTTTTACATCTTATTTTCCAACAAATGAACAACAAATAATTAATAATCTCTGCAAAGAAATTCAATCGCAAAAGTTAACAACAAGACAATTAGTTCAATTTGTTGATTGTGCATTCAAATTACAACATTCGAAAGTAACCGAGAAACTTAATTTAGATCTAGGTTCAGTTTTACTCTCAGCCTATGAACTTGTGTTCAATATTGATTCAACATCAACAATAAACATTGAGAATATTAAAAAATACTTAGAAAAACAAGCTAAAAAGGGATCAATCAATTTCTTTGATCTATCGGCTCCAATAGAAGAACGTGCAAAACATCGTGAACATATTATTGATCCCGAGTCAACACCGACGCGATATGAAGCAGCTAAACGTCTTTGTGCATCGATTATTTGTTCACGACCTGTTCTTCTCGAAGGTCCTGCTGCAACTGGTAAAACAAGTTTAATTGAATATCTCGCACAATGTAATGGTAAAATTCTCTATCGAGTCAATAATACGAAAGGTACAACTGTTCAAGATTATTTTGGTTCATATATGCCTAATGGTGAATTTCTTAATGGAGCTCTATCACGTGCAATGTTAGATGGACATTGGTTTGTTGCCGATGAATTCGATTTAGCCGAACCGGCTGTTATGAATGTTCTCTATCCGATTTTGGAAGGTCAACAACATCTTACCGTTCCAAATACTGGACAAACATTGGTTGCACGCGATGGATTTAGATTTTTTGCAACACAAAATGGTACAAGTTATGTTGGACGAAAACAATTACCTAAAACGTTACGTTCACGATTTTTAGAAATACAATTTCATTCATTCTCCGAAAAAGAACTTGAATTTATTATCATTCAACGAAAATCGACATCCAGTGTTTCAACATCATCAAAAACGTTTCATGATGATTTAAAACTTGTAGCACCACGAATAGCATCGACTGTTACTATTCTCAATCGTTATATTGAAGAAAAACAACAGCCATTGTTTGGTGCAGCAAAACTCGGTTTAACAATGCGTGAAGTTATCAAATGGATCAATCGAAAACAACGAAAGATCGATGTCGCTTGGGAAGAACATGCATTGCGATTGTTAGAATCACGTGTACCAAAAAAATTCTATTCAGAATTCATGAAATGTCTCAAACATGAACAAGCATTTCCAAAACTCATCGATCCTTCATTTAAAATCAAAGTTGAACATGATCAAATTTCACTTCATTGTCCACCTCGTTTGCCTATATCCTATTCGTTTATTAATACGGATGCAGCAAAAAAACTACAATTATCATCAGCACCGCAAAATTTACTTCTTTCACTCTGGCGACTATTTGCCGCTGCAGAACAGCATGAACCAGTTCTTCTACTTGGTTCAACTTGTTATAAATCATATTTGATCAAAGTTTGGTCGAAATTGATGGGAAAAGAATCCGATCTTTGTACAATTACATGTTCGACATCAACAGAAACAAACGATCTTATTGGTTCGATTAGGTAAATACCATCAAGATTTGTTCTATTTTCATTCATAAATTGCTTTTTTTTCAGACCATATACACATGCTGATGCATTGAACTTATTGTTAAGCTGTTTGAATCAACTTTGCACACGTGTAGAAAAGAGTTTATTTAAAAAAATCGATTCAACTCAATATGATGACATAAATGATTTTCGACGAAACATAAATAGTCTAGCTCAAGATATCGATGCTTTTGTTCGAAAAATAAAAGAACAACAGAAACGATCGCCAAGAAAACATCAAACAAAACAAACGACTTTAGTCGAAGATCCAGAGAGTATCTCGCTCGAAACACAATCAAGTGAAATTACTGAAAATCAAACGAAAGACTCCGTATATATCCCATCGGTAGATTCAGTCCCTCGAACACAATCACCATTAGTCATGACATATAGCGCAACTGTTTTTGATGATGATGATGATGATGATTTTGAAGCTATCTGCAGCTCTGAACAAATTATAGATGTGATGAAGGGAGATTCCCATGGCGAAGAAGATATTGACCCTTTTGCAATAATAAGCAATCCACAAGCCGAAATTGATCCATTTGCAATTGTAAGCAATCAACAAGAAGAAATCGACCCTTTTGCAATGGTAAAGAATCAACAAGAAGAAATCAATTCTTTCAATGTAATAGAGAAAAGTAGTGTTCCAACTAATTTTGATATTACTGCAACTATAGCACTGAAAAAACAAGAACAAGAAGATATTGATCCGTTCGCAATGATACAACCACCGGAACTCTCTGAAGAACAAAAACTTTTAGCATTTCATGATGCTACACAATCTGATTTTCAGAAAATGATATCGTCTTCTACTGCATGGATATCTCAGAACATGATCGGTATCAATCCAGTTCGTCAAGCCTTCGAATCTGTTGATCTTAAACTTGAAACTATTGCCGAAAGTCTCAATTATATATGTCGAATTGCATCAAATGAGAATGGCGTTTTACTAATTAAAATTCGTTGTGAAAGTATAATTGCTGAAATTCGGCGAGCAATCGAACAAGGAAAATCCAATATTTTTCTATTTCAAGATGGTCCAGTAACTACGGCTATTAAAGAGGGCAAAGTTTTAATTTTAGAAGATATCAATGAACCATCTCAAGCCGTTATTGAACGTCTCAATAGTTTATTTGAAACTGAACCATCATTTATTCTATACGAAGATTTTACCGCTCAAGAGTCAACAACAACAAAAACAGATATTAATCCACAACGTGCAAAAATTCCTATTTTGCCGACATTTCAAGTGTTTGCTACTGTTCATACAGATGAAAAAACTGAAAATCGTTTACAATTGAGTGCTGCAACACGATCAAGAATGACAGAAATACGTGTTCAATCTTATGACAACAATGAGCTTAAAAATTTAGCAACAAAATCAAGTTCGAATCATATCGACAATGAAAATGACAAATCAAAAATTAATGAAATGATCAGCATTCTAGCTGATGAACTTGCTCAAAAATTGGCTCCTGCCATGAAAATTGATTCGTTGGATTCACGTCATTTCGTTCGTTTTGGTGAATGTTTACAATTACATGTTCAACATATGCCAGTCGAGCAAGCAGCTGCACTTTGCGTCAAATTTCTATTTCTTGACGGTGTCAATGAATCGAAAAAATCATCGATTTCCAATTTACAAACAACTAATGTAGTTTGGAAAGAAGTACTGCAAGCATTTAAATGTACACAAGATTGTATTACATCCGATGAAAAACTTGAAAAAGTTGGTGTCTATACAAAACTTGATGAATGGTGTATTGTGGAAGACATGATGATATTAGATAAAGAAACGGATGAAGTACGACAGCATTGGGGTTTACGTCTTTTATCGAATGGTTTAATAGCACCATTTGCACCACAAGTACAAACGAAACCTGACAAACTCAAATTTTCTCTCGCTCTAACAAAATCTGTTTTAAACAATATATCACGAATAGTGTTTTCATTACATTCATCCAATCGACAATTATTAGCAGGTCCTCCAGGTGTTGGTAAAACAAAAATCATTGAAGTTCTAGCAAAAATGTTAGGATACAATGTTGTACGTATCAATTTCAGTAGTAATACTACATTTGAAGATCTTATCGGATCATTCGTACCTCGTGTTGTCAATGGACAACGATCGTTTGAATTTCAAGAAGGACCATTGTATATTTCATTGAATGAAAATCGTCACAATACTGTCATTTTATTTGATGAATTGAATTTAGCACGAAAAGAATTATTGAATCAATTGACACCGTTGTTCGGTAATGAAAAAGAATTGTTTATACCTGCACTAGCGAAATCGATTCCAATCAATGGTTCAATTATTGTTGCAGCCATGAATCCGGCTTCAATCGGTGGTGGCCGAGAGAAATTACCTCGATCAACTCAAACACATTTTATTCAAGTTCAATTATCATCATTCGAAGTACATGAGTTGATGCACATTACCATCTCATTATTACGTCCTCATCTGGATGCAGGTTATTTAACTGGAAAACTTATTGAAAAAATTAATACATTTCATTTTGAAATAAGTGAAAAGGCACGATTACGACAGATTGGTCGTCTTGGTGGACCCTATGATTTTAATCTTCGAGATATTGAAAAATTATCAAATTTAATTGGAGCTCATTCACTTACACATCGAGCTCATATTAGCCTTTCAGAATCAGGAGCGCCATCAACAACGAATACAGCTGATAATGATAGTGTAAGTAAAATCGAAGAGCAAAACATTATTCGTAGTCTATATGTTTATTTGGATATTGTCTATGCGTCTCGATTTGAATATGTTGCCGATCAAACTTCTGTTCGTGAAATGATACGACAACACTTTAGTTTGGATACTGCTAACACAGCTACGGCTAGTCAACAAGAACCAGTTGATAGTGATTTAAATCTACAAGGTTATGCACGACTCGGTTTTGTCTACATCGAAAAGAAAGAATATCCGTCAACTTATAGATCATGTATTCACAGCAAACGAACTTTAGAAAGATTACAATTACTAGCAGCAGCTACAGTGAGCAAAGCGACAGTTTTGATCGAAGGAGGCGATTGCTCGGGCAAAACAGCTACTGTTTGTGAATTAGCTCGAATATGTGGAAGACGATTATTAGTACTAAATCTCAATCATGAAACAACAACATCAGATTTACTTGGTTCATGGACTGTGATCAATAAAAATTCATATGAAAAGCGTCGAAAACAGAACAGTAAACAATTGCTCAATGATATTGTTCGTTTTACATTAGCTGTCCTCATACCATTATCGCAAAAATTTCACGAAACCGAACAATTGATTCGAACAATTACACGCATAATTTATCAATGGGAACATGGTAAGTCATTGAAATCATTAAAAAAGTAAGAACACCCAAATACTAGTTTGATTGACTCAGAAATTACGACGAGAAGATGATGATGGAGGAGATGTGTAAGTACAGAAGATGATGTTATTTCACCCTTGCACTTCTGTTTCTGAAATTTCGATTCGGAATTAATCAGTGTTGATAAGCAATCAATTTAGAAGTTGCAGCCTCAAGCGATGTGTGTCGATATTGCCCTTCACATAGTAAGAGCATCAACTCGCTTAATATTTACATTATCGAACTATTTGATTTGCCATTATTTGTGTTCGACTTTGACATGAATATTGGTATTATATGCATTTCTTTCTCTTGCACTACCTTCCAGGTATTATCAGAAACTCGTATATTTTTAAATGCTGTCTGATTTACTGACGAATCATAGAAGATAGAGATCCATTGGCACGTATAGGACTTGAGTATCGAATTGGTTATGAGACGTAAAAATGATCCGTATCATAATTAATACTCGCATCTGCAGCCACAGTCACAATGACAGTAGCGGATAGTACTTTACAGTTGAATGTCACAGAAATTGCACTAACAGTATTCTGTACAATAAAAGTCACGATTTTTGGATGTTATTCATGTTAGAACATCTAGCAAATACGAAAATTCTTAATAATGCGATCCAAATGGACACAAGTAAGACGATTGCTGAGCTATGCACTTATAGATAAAACTTCTACCTTTTAATATCTTTATCTATTTGAATTGAGGATAATAACTAAGGATACGCATTATTTGAATTAGTCACATTTTCACGATAGAAAATATCATAATGCTGATATGTTTTCTAAAATTAATAAGTTCTTTTCTTATTGATTTCCTAGAAAAGAGTGATCTGGCTCTTGATGCCTATCAACAATGTCGAATATTATTGGAGAATACACTGGATCAGTCGAATGAAATATACGTAGAACTAATCTCACAAGAAATAGAAAAGTATCTAGATATGCTTGAACAAGTTGAAGACGACTATAAATTAGTGCAAAATCTTGGCGAAGGACTGACGTTCACTTTCAATAAAGGACCTTTAATACAAGCTATGGAACGAGGTGATTGGATTCTCTTGGATAATATCAACTGTGCACGTGGTGATGTCATCGAACGTCTGAATTCGTTAGCCGAAGCTGAACCAACATTAACCTTATATGAATCAGCCACTTCTCAGCAGTATAGCCGCGGCAATGGCATTCATAACGATTTTCGATTGTTTGTCATTGCAAACAATAATCGAAAAATGGCAAATAAATTATCTAGTGCTTGGAGAAATCGATGTTTAATTATACGAATGCAACCATTAGATAATGAATTGACAGTCGATAATGTTGATCAACATGATCTAGCTGAGATTGTCAAAGGTGAACTTCAAGGAATAAATGGTGGTCAAGAATTAGCTCATACTTTGTTACGTTTACATGCATCAGCGAAAGAACTATCGAATACTAAAGAATTACAATTTATAACTTCATATCAATTGTCCTATCAAAATATAAAACGATCGGCACGTATCTTACGAACATACGTTATGAATGAATATGATCCAGTGTTTGCATTAAAGCCATCCATCTTTCGAAGTTATGTCGATCCGATATTAAATCATAGTGGAAAACGTTTTTTGGTCAAAGCCTTAATTCAACATTTATCAAATTCCGAATTGAATAAAACAACTTACTCAACTCTACCCATGCTATCATCAATGGTTGGAATTGAAAATCAGCAACAACAAATGACTTGGTACAGATCATCAGAAAATCTACATGATTTAATTGCATCAATCGAAGAATGTACATTAGATCTTCATTTGAGAACTATCGGTCATCATATCAACGAAGATATGTGTATCAAAGAAGATTTTGTCGATTATGGTCTATTGTTACTTGATTATCTTCAACCTTTATTAAAATCCAAACAGGAAACTCTATCCGATGATGATCTCTATTCTCAAGTTTCAACTATTCGATCAAAAGTTCTGTTCAATGATGCACATCAATCAACGACAATAGGTTTTGATTTGAAAAAGTTGTTATCCAAAATTCATCAATATTTACAATCAACAAGAATTCTACTTTCACTCGATAATACTGAAGATTCACTCAATCTATTAAATATCACTGTTCAAGAATGTTATAAACAAATTATTAATTTTGTTGAACAAACTTCATTTGTCGATGCACAATATCGTCTTTCAGAATTGCAACGTTTGAATAATACGATTCAAAAACTCTCGTCATTATCGAAAAAATTACAAATTGTTTGTAAATTATCACGATCATCAATTATAGCTCATTGGAGTATCATGATTCAAAATGATCTCAATAAACTTCTTATTACTGAAACATATATGAAATGGGTTTCATTTCCATGTCAACAAATAGCAAAGAAAGATTTGCATATTCTATTACAAACACAAGAATTTATTCGACAACAACATCAAACAAATAATGAAGAAGATGATGATGATTTTAATTCAGCTTTGAAATTAATCAATGTACATCTACAAAAAGTACAATCAATTCCAATCATATCTTCAGCTGATCAACGATTAGATATTATTTTGAAATTATATCAATATCTTTCAATAATGAAAGAAGATAAATTTATTCTATTAGCTGCATCGAAATTAGAATTAAATGTTGCATGTAAACTTACTATGAATCTTATGATTAAATCGGATTTTATTGAAAAAATGGATGAACAACAAACATTATTGAATTCATCAAATCTACTTGCCAGTTTGAATTCACTATATTTCATTCATACAATACTTAATACTATCTACGATGAAATAGCAGCATGTAAAGTTCAACTCGATAATATCCAAAGTCAATATCGTTCTCAAACGACAATGCGAGCCGAGAATATTGATGATATTGAGATACAAATCACAAATCTTCATTCAAAAATCAATAATCTTCTCAAATCATATTCAAGTAAAACAACAGATATTGATGCAGAATTGGATAGAGCTCAACAGGAAGAAACTAAATTGACTGATATTAAAGCAAGACATTCAGCAGCATTGAAAAATATCGAACAGTTAAATGAAAATATCAGTACATTATTTATGCCGTTAAGACAACAACTGAAAAAATTCGAAGCCAATGGATGGCTTCAAATTATTCATGAGCATGGTCGAAGACGACAAGAAAATATTATCAATGAATTATTTGATACAATATCAAAAATCTATTTGAAAGAATACGAATTGAATCAAACATATTCATCATCGAATATTTTCGATGATGAACGAAAACAATTGAAATCAGATGTTCTTCGACAATATGTTTTTAAAAATATCAATTTCGATGATATTAATACACCACATGGACGTTCAAGTCTTGCTCTAATGCAACTTATCTATCCTGACTTGTTTCAACAGAATGTTCTTCTATTTGTATTCAAAGAAGATACTTTACAATTAACAATTAATAAAAGTTTGGAAACAACTAATACAATCGATATTATTGTCAATGTACAATTGACGAATTTTCTGCTTATTGACAAACGTTCTTACAATCGATATTCAACAAATGAATCTGGTGTAGCTTATTTCAGTCAAAAAATTTTTCTTCGTCATTTTGCCATTGACTATCAAACTGATTCAGCAACAATCGATAATAGTTTCTTTCAATTGATTGATCGATTTGAGAGTGAAATAAAACAAAAATCAATGGATACTGAAATTGATATTGAACGAAAACTCATTCAGACAAATATGAATGATGAAATATCATATTTTGTCTTACCATATACGCTACAACAAATATTTCACAATTCAAATCTTAATGATGATTTCAACTCAACGATCGAATCCACATATTTAGAGCAACTCGATCTTGATATTCAAACTTGGATCCAAGAACAACGACAGTTGGGTACAATTCGAAACGAACAACATATCTATCAAAATCCAGTTGAAAATGAAATTCGAGGAGATATTGAATTCCTATTGAAAATTGTTGATCAAGTAAGAAAGATTGTAGATCAAACATTACCATCGGTACCTATTAATATTACACAACTTGCTAAATTAGTCAACGAAGCACGAAATGATTTAGGACGACAAATCATAACTAAATTAGAGAAGAAACTAGAGGATGCTTTAGAAATGTGCATACCACAAGAACCGATTGCTAAAGCTCGTACATTGAGCATTGTTGAGAAGAAACAATTTCGTTATCCTGTTCTAAATCAATTGAAACGTTTCTTATCTGATTCACATACTAAATTTCATGCATTCATTTCAACATTCATCGATCGTTTACATATGATTCAAGCAAAATTATTACAAATTCCCAGGAGATTCAATCCGACTTGTGAATTCGACCGGAACATGTCGG